GGTTGTGGGCCCGATCCCCAGTGGGGGGCGTGCGGGAGGCGGCCGATCCATGTTCTCGCTCATTGATGACTCGATCCCTTCCTCTCTTTCTTGAACATCAATAAAGAAAAAAACAATAAAATTTTCAAATTAATTTTCTCACCACATACAGGAACATTGAAAAACTACTCAGTTTTTGTTTGAGTATTAAAATATTCATTCTTACACAGTAGCATAATGTTTTAATGTTTAGGCTTCCAACTCTATAGGGGCGGATAGTTTATGATAGTAAAAAACACATTTTAAACAAACTTTTAAAAAAGTATTTGAATACATTTATGATTTTGAAAGAAATTTTCCTCATAAAAACCTTAACTGAAATATTCAAACTAATTCTGCAAATTAGAACAGTATCAAACCCAGATTCTGTCAATGTTGGTAAACTCTGATATAAATCTGGCTGCTGCACATAAAAATGTCAATGCCATTCGCGAAAACATGGATGGACTCAGAAGGTTTTATGCTATGCAAAATAAGTTAGAGAAAGACATGATTTCACTTATATATGGAATTTTTAAAAATCAAAACAAAGCAAAAATGGACTCACAGAAAGAAAGAAAAAGCTGATGGTTGCCGGAAGGGAGGAGGTGGGTGAAAAAGGTGAAGGGGACCGTAGTCGACAACAGTGTGATAACTTTGCGTGGTGACAGATGGCTCCTAGACTTAGTGTGCTGAATACATCGTAAGATATAGAAATGTTGAATCACTATATTGTACACCTGCAACAAATACAATATTGTATATCAATTATACTTAAGCAAATGACAACTACAAAAAAAATTTCAATAAAAATAAATTACAATTCACTGTACAGACGAAATGTAACGGGAAACAATACCCTGATTTAACACGTGTGTCCTGGTAAATATGATTTTTGTAGCTTTTTTGTAAATTATTTAAAGTGCTTAAAAACTATTTTTGGAAAATATAGCTGTTTGATTTTGTTTTTCTTTTTGTTTGCTTTCTAGTTCTTTACTTTGTGAGGTTAGTCACTTAGAAATTTTTCTTGTTCTTGAGGTAGGCCTGTAGTGCTATGAAGGTCCCTCTCAGTACTGCTTTTCGCTGCATCCTATAGATTTTGTGTTGTTGTGCATTCATTGTCCTTGGTTTCGAGGAACTTTCTAATTTCTTCCTTGATCTCCTCGGTACCCATTCATTGTTTAATAAGATGCTATTTAGCCTCCATGTGTTCAAATGTCTTTGCATGTTCTTGTTGCAGTTGATTTCTAGTTTCATGCCGTTGTGATCTGAGAAGATGCTTGATATGATATTAATCTTCTTAAACTTGTAGAGATTTAGTTTGTGCCCCAACATGTGGTCTATCACTTAAAATGTCCCATGTGCACTTGAGAAGAATGTGAATTCTGCAGTTTTGGGGTGTAAGTTTCTGTGGATATCTATTAAATCCATTTGATCTAGTGCATCACTTAGAGTCTCTCTTTCCTTGTTAATATTTTGTCTAGAGGCTCTATCCAGTGATGTTCAGCGGGGTGTTGAAGTCCCCTGCTATGATTGCATTGCTGTCGATTTCTCCTTTGAAGTCTTCCAGAGGTGTTTTAACATATTTTTGTGCTCCTATATTGGATGTATATATATTTACCAAGGTTATATCCTCCTGTTGGATAAATCCTTTCAATATTATGTAGTGGCCTTCTGTCCCTTGTTATGGCCTTCATTTTGAAGTGTATTTTATCAGATGTGAGTATTGCTACCCTAGGTTTTTTTCCATTTTCATTTGCTTGGAAAACTTTTTCCTTTGAGTCATGCTTTCTTATCCATTCAGCTACTCTGTGTCTTTGGAGCATTTAATCCATTTACATTTAAGGTTATTATTGATATGTATTATTTATTACCATTTTTATTTATTATGGCTGTTTCTCTCTCTGTTTCTTCTGCTTATTACAGCAGTCCTTTTAACATTTCTTGGAGTTCTCGTTTGGTGCTAATATATTCCCTTAGCTTTTTTGGTTTGGGAAGTTCTTTATTTTACCTTCTATTTTGAATGATAGCCTTGCTGGACAGAGTAATCTTGGATTCATATCCTTGTTTTTTATTACCTTGAATATTTCATGCCATTCCCTTCTGGCCTATAGTATTTCTGTTGAGAAATCAGCTGATAGTCTTATGGGGCTATTTTGTAGGTAATCTGTTGCTTTTCTCTTGCTGCCTTTAGGAGCCTCTCTTTGTCTTTAATTTTTTGGCATTTTAATTATTATGTGTCTTGGTGTGGGCCTGTTTGGGTTCTTCTTACTTGGGGTTCTCTGTGTTTCCTGAACTTGTATGCTTTTTTCCTTCACCAAGTTAGGTAAGTTTTCTGCCACTATTTCTTCAAACATGTTCTCTAACCCTTGCTTATTTTCTTCTTCTGGAACTCCTATGATGCAGATATACATTTTGTATTTTCCCACAACTCTCTAACTGTCCTTCTGTTTTATAATTGTTTTTTCTTTTTGATTCTCTGATTGGATGAGTTTTTCTACCCTGTCTTCTAACTCACTGATCTGAGCCTCAGCTTCCTCTAATCTGCTGGTTATTCCTTCCAATATGTTCTTTATTTCTGCTATGTCATTCTTCATTTCCATATGGTGGTTTTTCATTTCTAATTGGTTGATTTTTGTTTCGATATCTTTACTCATGCTGTTGTGCTTCCTTATAATCATTATTCTGAACTCTACTTCTGATAACTTTCTTAATTCCATTTCACGTATCCCTTCTGTACAATTCTCTTGTTCTTTCATTTGGGATTGGTTTCTGTATCACCATTTTGGCTGTTTCAGCAGGTTTTGAAGCCTTCCAAATTTTCCCAATGATTATGGCTCCCTCTACTGGGTTTCGATGAGTATGAAAGGGACCTCATTAAACACCAATGGCCAAGCAAAGATTCAATTATCCTAGAGCTTCTGCCTGCAGGTTATTAGTCTCAGTTACTTAATGAGCCTCGGGTTGTAGCCCTCACCTGAAGGAAAAATTCCTCAGGTGAACATGGTAAGAGGATTTCCAGTGGGAGGGGCAATTCCTTTCCCCTGGGTTAAAGTTGCTTTGAGAAGAAACTGGTTTCTGCAGTGCGGGGATCCAGGCCTCAGCCTTCACAGCTCAGTCCTCAGAGCCATGATCCCCACCACTGAGAGCCAGGACCAAATCTCAAAGCTTTCAGAGGCTTTTCTCTGCCTACGGACTGGCAGGTAGTTTCTAGCTATTAATGAGCCTCAGGTTGCCCTTTTCTGGGTCAGGTGGTGTTAAATTTCTGAGGAAGGGGCAGTTGCTTCTCCCCAAGGCTTTGGCACTCTGGTGGGGGGCTCTTTGGGGAAAATGGCTACTGTCCTGTGGGGGAGTCACTCAGCATAGAGCTCCTGATGGCCTTCCCAACTCTCTCCCCAGTGCCATGAACCCCCGACTGTCCTCATACAGATCCAGTCCAGCCCACCCTCCCTCTGCTGGAGCCTAAGGTGTAGCTGTAATTTAGTTCATTGGCCCTTCAGGGAAGTGCCAGTGTTCCCTGCACCTCTCCCTGGCGCACAAAACCCCTGCTCCGGTGATTTTCTCAGCCAGGTGTTATGTGGGCACCTTTCCCTGCTCTGCCCCTCTGTGCTGGGGAGCTGGCAGGGCTTTCAACCCCCCACTTCTCAGAGGGAACTGCTCACAGCTGAGACAGCCCTCTCACGCCTCCACAGCCCCTACCAGTCTCGGTGTGAGGTCCTCTTGATGTCCCTGCTTATAAGGGCTCTTTCCAGCTGCTCTTCAGTTGGTTTTCCAGATGACGTGTCTTTCTTTTAGTTGAAACTCCAGTTTGGTCCTGGGAGACCGTCTGCATAGCTTCCATTCACTCTACTGGCATTTCATATCCTTGTCTAAAGTATAATTTAATAACATGAAAGCAACATTTGCCATGGAAGAATTATAATATGGGTAATCTATCAATTAATCTTTTTATGACAGTATCTTCAAACATAAAAGAAAAAATATAGTGAAGACTTTCTAGCCTCCAAAGGAAATACAGCCCATTCCATTCTACCAGCTTTCCTTCTTTACCTCAATCTCTGCTGACTTTTATCAGCTTTGGTTCTTTCTAACATACTGCCTTCTGCTGTTTTATGTGTGTGTGTTTTTGAACATAGGTCTACAAAAGTGGCCTATGGGGCTATGAGAGAATATAGTTAATAAAATAGCCAGCAACCACTGTTAAAATGTTTTAATATCAATGTAAAATGAAATCAGGGTTTCATAAGCAAGTTTCAGACCAGAAACGCCGATTTGTAGAAAGGTTATCCCCCTTTCAGAAGCCTAAATATGAATCATAAAGTTTAGAGATTTTTAAAAATATCATGGTATCATTCCCATTTTATCTACAGTTGACACACATGCAAAAATAAATAATTTCCAAATCAAAAGCCTCTAGTAGAAACATTCAAATTAAAAATCAAGCATTTAATTTATTTATTGGCCATAAAACTCAGCATGAATCGTACTTAGCCCTTCCTTGTCAGCATCCAGACATCCCTGGTTCGCTCTATGTAACTTAATGCTACAGTTACAGATGCAGGACATGCCCCACCATTTTCTTCACTGCATTACACTTGGCAAGTCACCTATCAGCACTACACTGGGTAAGAAATGAGTCAGGAACAATATAATTGCTTGACTGAAAAGCTGACCACATGTCCGGGGTCTGCCAATTGAGTGAGAATATTAGGGAAATGTGAAATTCAAGGAGGATTTTTTTTCATCCTCTCCAAGTTACATGTTTAGTACGTGGAAATAAATAGTAGAGGAAGGTGAAAACAGCCACGTAAATGAAAACTCCATAGAACTAAAAGCAAACGAAACAAAATACAAATTACAGTGGGCCTAAGAACTTAGTCCCATTTGGGTTTATTTGTGACTGCAAGAGAAAGTTCATAAATTTGGGAACAGTTTCAATGTACTGAGGAACCAGCAATTTGTATAAAAATAGTATTTAAATATTTTCTAAGAGTTTTGTGTGATTCATTGACAAATTTGGTGCCGACAGTCAAAAAATAACCAAACAAAATAAAATAAACCTCAAAGATCTTCTTTTTATTATATTCATTTCCAAAAGTTATAAAGCATCTTTAACACAATTTTCTCTGCCATTCCTCAAGTGAATCAGTAAAATAGGTAAAATCTCAAAATATAACTGTAATATTACACAAGACAATTATTTTTCCTTCAATAACTTAGTCTGTTCCAAAGTATTTCTGTCCAAAATGTGTAGGTGCAACAGGATGAACTTCAGTAGTTAAAATTGTTATCTCTGGAAACTCTTGAATGATTGATTTGGCACCTTCAAAAAATGAAAGGAAGAAAATTATTATTATTGTAGGATTTTTGGTAACATAGTAGGAATTCTGTGGTCAGTCACTACACCTCATATTGATAGATGACAGAGAACAATGACCTTTGGATACCTAGTGAGACTTGGTTAATCTCTTAGTTTTAGGTGGGTTTTTTTTTTCTCTCATTTTCTTTATTGATTTTTTTAGAGAGAGAGGAAAGGAGAAGGAGACTGAAACATCAACGAGAGAGAACATCAATTGGCCGCCTCCTGCATGCTCCCCACTGCGGATTGGCCCCACAACCTACATGTGTCCTGACTGGGAATCGAACCAGTGACCTCTTGGTGCATGGGTCGATGCTCAACCCCTGAGCCACACCAGCCGGGCTAATAATCTCTTAGTTTTTTAATGTATGATACCTGAAAAGCAACTTTCCCTTGAAGAGTCTTTGTCTTGTTCTATTTTAAAGGCAGCTAGAATAAAGAGAATATAGTTCTTTCTGAAAACGGGATCATACGTAAGATGATGGTTTCTCAACTGGAACATTGGGAAAGAAGTGCAAACATTTCTTTATGTCAGAGCAATCCAGCTGTTAAGAAATTAGTACTCTAGCTTTTGCAGGGGAGGGAGGGAAGGAGGAAAGAGCAGGGAAAGGAACTAGCTAGTCCCCCACTCAAACTAAAACGCCATAGATAGCAAGGCTGCCAAAGAACACCATTTTTTTTTCCATCTATAATGTCAAAGAATAGTATAGTATTGTAATGTACACTATTAAAACTAACTTATTTTTCTACCCTAAAGGCAGATAACTCAATACTTATTTGTTTATCTCAATGTTTACAGTGCTACCTGTTATATATAAATGGATGACCAAGCAAATCACCCTTTGTCACTATCAACATTTGAACTGCAGGTATTTTCTTTATTATGAAACAGCAAAATAGCCCTGGCCAGTTTGGCTCAGCGGTTAGAGCATCAGCCCACGGACCAAAGAGACCTGTGTTCAATTCCAGCCAAGGGCACGTACCTCGGTTGCAGTTCGTCCCCGGCCCCAGTTGGGGTCGTGCGGGTGGCAACCAGTCGATGTGTCTCTCTCACATCAGTGTTTTTCTCTCTCTCTTTTTCTGTCCCTCCCACTCTGTCTGAAAATAAATATAAAAATATCCTTGGGTGAGGATTTTGAAAAAAAAAAAGCAAAATAATCAATTGCCTACTGAACACAGCCCTCCCAAAATGGATACTCTGTAGCCAGTTCAGGGTTGGCTGAGACTTGGAACCTTTGCAAATGAGGAAATGCCCAACCTAGAAGTCATATTTCATTTTTAAAATTATTTTATTTATTTTTGTTACAGATGCTTCTCCTTTTTCCCCCATTGACACCGTCTTGCTGAGGAAAGATATATTAGGTTCCATGTTAAATCCAAGTCTGATTTTGGTAGTCATAATAGTGATAACAGTCATAGTTATAATTTGTATTCATCATCTCTAAACTTGGTAATAACATTTAACACTATTCTAATGCTGTTATTTTTTTATCCTGTTCTTTTACATTTACCACATAGATTTTTTTGATGTCATTATTTTTCAAAAATATGGTTTAACAGTTACATAACATTACATCCTTTGAATGTATATTTGTTTAACCATTTCCTTATTGTAAGTCTTTTACATACTTTCAAATTTCTTCTTACACTAAATATTTCTATATGCATCTATAATTATTTTATTAGGATACTTTCACAATTGTCCTAGATTCCGTGGCAAAAAAAGCAGGGTCTTAAATTAGGCTTACCTCCCTCAGGAAATAGAGAACACACAGTTTTCTCACAAGGCTCTGAGCAGAAATCTAAGTTTAAAAACTTCTGCTCTTTGCTTCACACTGCGATGCTTATTTAAGGAAGACCACAGGGCTAGCTAGAACCTCTAATTTCTTGCTGTTTGGGAGCAGCTCTCTGGCTCATATGAGGAACCAGGAGAAATAGAGCCATTTACAGGTGTACCCAAACAGGGCCACCAAGAAAACAGTAGCAATCCCCTTCTATGGGGTTATTTCATACTTTTTCATTTGAATTTAAGCAACATTAGAACGGTATAAAATATTATCACTAGGCTTACAGATAAAAAATATAAATTTTGCCCTGGCCGGTTTCGCTCAGGAGTTAGAGTGTTGGCCTGTGGACCAGAAAGTCCCGGGTTTGGTTCCTGCTAAGGGCATGTACCTCGGTTGCGGTTTGTCCCCGGACCCAGTTGGGGTCATGTGGGTGGTAGCCACACAATGTATCTCTCTCACATTGATGTTTCTCTCTCTTCCTCCTCTCCCTCCCACTCTATCTGAAGATAAATGCAATAATGTCCTTGGGTGAGGATTATATATATATATAAATTTTAACTACCAATATTAGATTTAGATTTAATGTGGAAGCAAATAAACTTTTCATGAGATGCACACTTACCCACCCAATGACTATCCAGAGCCTGTCACTGCCTCTTGCTGAACTTACCATGAGGGGTGGAGAACAGACTTAGTAGGATGATGACACTGGGTTGAACTCCATGTTCTATAAGAACCTTTACAGCTTCAATTACAGTATTTCCAGTGCCTGGAATCAAATGACAACCAAATGAATTGCCAACTTTAACATTTATCTAAAAATGGCCCTGGCCGGTTTAGCTCAGCAGTTAGAGCGTCAGCCCACGGACCAATGAGTCGCGGGTTCGCTTCTGGTCAAGGGCACGTACCTCGGTTGTTGTTCATCCCTGACCCTGGTTGGGTTGTGCGGGAGGCAGCCACTTGATGTGTCCCTTTCACATTCATGTTTCTATCTTTCTCTCTCTCCCTCCCACTCTATCTGAACAAAAATGGGAAAATGTCCTTGGGTGAGGATAAAAAACAACAACAAAAAAACCCCACAAGAAAACATTTATCTACAAATGTATTTGATGCTTTTTTGCAGGAAAGGCAGTTTAGTAATGTAACATAAGACACCACTAAACAAAGCTTCATTATTTTCAATAATGGACATGAAACATCACTGCTCTAACTCTCTGGGCCAGAGAAGGGACATAGTTCACCATATTTTCTGTGCTTTATATATTTTGCCTCACTAGACCCATTGCTTCAATGTGTTAATTTTAAGAAAGAAACTCTTTGGAACTAATAAAGTTTGATGAATGTATATTCTCTTATTACTCAATAAAAATTCTCCAATGAACTGCCCAGGGCAACTCCAAAGCCAAGTGAGATAAAAACATTTAGAAACAGTTTTTGCATTATGAGGGGTAGCCAGAAGGTAGGCACTAAGTTGAATTTAAACTCTAACCAAAGGTTAAAATTAAATTCAAGCCACTCACTGAGAATTGGGTACATCAGCAGGACTTTTCTCTTATAAATGTCTGGAGGGAACTTGGCATAATATACTTTGGCTCTTTGTGTCTCCTCATCACTCTGAATGAGGATCTTTCCAATGCGTATGGATCGACAGCAATCTCGTAAACCTTGTTCCATTGCCTCACCTTGAAGAAGATAATGAAAAAGAAGGGAAAAAAGGGTTAGGGGAGACAGAGTGCAAGTCCAAGAATAGTCCAAAGCTGTGTCTATGACTATTATTAATAGAAAAAGGACATTGTCAAGATGGGAGCAATTCTTCTTAAGCTAATAGCATTACTTCTGATGTGTTTATATTTTATACTTAGTGCACGTCAATGAAACTAGGTTATGGGCTAGTCAGTGAAAGGAGAATAAGCTAGTTTTGTTGCTGGCTTAGAAATTTTAGAGCTGTCATGCTTCCACAATTACAGGAAATAAAGTGCTTTGTTAAGCTGTTCCCTGACCTTTTCCAACATGAACATTTTACTCTTATCACTTAAGGAAGACTTTAAAACACCTAAACTTGTTCCTGCCATCTGAAAAAGTATAAAAGGTTTATGGAAGAATGAAGGCTACAGACGAAAGGATCTCCTTTGAGATCAAGGTGGCATCAGAAAACATCACTTAGCTCCAGCAATGACTTCAGTAGTAACAGTTTTGCTGGCAAATGGTGACAAAATAGTACATTATTCCCTCTCCCCACAAAGAACCACAATCAACAGTACCACCACCCTCTCAGTTTCTAAACATGGCAACCTCAGCTATTCTGAGTCTGAAATCTTTTAAGGAAGTGTTTGCCAAAAGTCAATCATTCTCATACCACCTTCAAGATTTTAGCCTACATCAGAATTCTACTTGTATTATTATTTACTTAATATTTTTCCTTAAATTAATCATTTTTGTTTACATATATTTTGAGAAGAAACTTTATAATCACTACTGTGGACATAGAAACAGTTTCTAATATACATGAAAACTGACCAATAGCTCTTCAGGTTAAAAACAACCCTGTCTATGCATCACCCCCTGGTCCTCTGGTGCACACTAGGCTCCTTTTAGGGCAGGAGCTGGACTGAAACAGAGGAAATTGTAACATAAAAGCCCATTTCCATTGACTTTGCCAGGTTGTTTCAAAAGGTTGTAAAATATGGTCCTGAAAATCCTCACATTGTTTAAGAGCTACCTTCTAATACAAAGGGAGTTGAAAGCTCCTATTTTACTTCAGGTATTCAGTTGTTCACAAACAGAACTTTACAGAAAGAGGAGAAAAGGGAACGCTTAAATGTTTGTAAAAAATAAATCCGTCTGTTTCCAGTGGAAACAAGTGGGGCTTCCACTGTTCCCTGGATCTTGTGCAAAAAATAATTAAGTTGCTGAACAGAAATAACCATCCCCATGTAACACATATAGGTGCTACTTATACATACATGATTTTGCTGCACAAAGGTTAGTTTAGAAGGGTGATCAGTTGGACTCAAACAGAAATACAGTATTTATGAGACCAGAAACCTGAAATACCTACAGTTAATGGTAGTTAAGTGCTTCTGCCTATATGGTCACATACTCATCATAAATAAACTAAAATTACCAAACAGGTCATTCAGTTCAGCTCAAAAAAAAAACAATAGAAAAAATGTTTTCTCCAGCCAGGTATGCAAAGTTCTGCAGGCTTGAAATTGTGGCACATTCCATAAATCTCCAAACTGCCCTCCTCTCCCCAAAACAGCATTATCGCACCCTCCTATCCTCCCACCGTCCCCTGAATCTTTTGGAAGCTGGCTTGCCCATGGGGGCAGGCCACCAGGGAAGATGTTCTGCAGTTAAAATTAGCCAAACTTACCACTTAGTCTGAAGATACATCTGGAAAAAAAAATTAGCCAAACTCAGCAACACATAGGCCACAATTCCAATGCACCATGAGGACAAAACAACACAGGCGGTGAGATTTAAGGTCAAGTAGGCTGCAAGTGTGACAGAGAAGCTCCCTTCTGTCCTGGGAAGCAGCGACTGTGTCTTTGTGTGCAGAGAGACAAGATCACACACATGCGAACCTACCGCTTCTCATTATGCTGACGCCACAATTTCCCTTCTCGAATTTCACTCCTTCATACTTGTACCCTGTTGAAAAATAAATCCAAAGAATTTATCTTTCATCACTGGAACAACTTACTTATTTTATAAAGTGACTATACTTTAAAGCAGATGGGTACTGTGCAAGCTTTGTCCAGACACATTATATAATGTCTTAAGTTCCCTGTGAAAGTAACGAGAAGAGCCAAGACTTTCCATAGTTCTTTTTTTTTTTTATCCTCACCCGAGGACATTCTTGCACCTATCTTCAGATAGAGCAGGAGGGAGAGAGGGACACAGAGAGAGAGAGAAACATCGATGCGAGAGAGACGTACTGACTGGCTGCCTCCTGCATGACCCCAACCAGGGCCAGGATGAACCACCGAGGTACATGCCCTTGACCAGAATCAAACCCGCAACTCTTCGGTCCGCGGGCCGACGCTCTAACCACTGAGCAAGACCGGTGAGGGCAATTTCTTAATTCTTCATAAGAAACCCATATGGATAATTGGGAAAGGTGGACTTTATCAAGTGGGAATAGGACATATGATAGCATGATATTCACATAGTCCTCAAATTGAGTTCAGAGAATCACTGCACCCTAAGGATGCTATAAACACCATCGATTCAAACAGGCACCCACTGCGAGCCACAGCAAAGAGCTTCCTCATTCTGTCCCTTTTTACGAGCCTCCATTCTGCCTTAAAAAGCAAAAGAAAGAGACTGAGTTACCAAGACATGTTCAGCTCTTGGTTCCATCCTAAATGTGTTTCAATTATGCAGCGCAGCCCCCAATTTAAAGAGTTGAACTTTGAACAGAACAGCTTCCCTTATTTACTGAGAAAACAAATCAAAATGTCAAGTTCCTGAAACAGGGATCTTTGGCTGCTTTTTATTTGAGAAGCACAAAGCACCTTCTCGAATTCTCATCATTTTGAGTTTTCTGTGTATTTTTTACTTCTCCTGCTTTTCCTTGGAGTTTAAATGCCAAACCAGCCCACCCATTTGCTTCCAGCAATTCTCAACTCTGGTCCCAATGGGCTGTCATCAAAGGCATCACCCGCATGCTGAAGAGTATTTATTAACCTTTAACTTGGATTGAAAGCAGGCCATTAACAAAAAGTCATCCACATAAATGTCTTTCCTAAATGTCTCTAGGTTTATTAAGTTGTTTAAAAGAACAGCTCCACCTAGACTCCACATTCTGCATACTAATTTATAAAAATTGTTTTCTTTCCCTTTCCCCCCAATTCTAACTCAGAATTTTTTAAAAAAATATGTTTTTATTGATTTTTTAGAGAGACAGGAAGGGGGAGAGAGAGAGAGAGAAACATCCACGTAAGCAGGACATCGATCGGCTGCCTCCACGGAGCCCACGACCCAGGCACATGCCCTGAGGGGGAATCGAACCGAGACCTCTCAGTCCACGGGACGATGCTCAGTCCACTGAGCCACACCAGCCGAGCGTAACTCAGAATTTTTATGAGAAAAATATGACAGAAACAGCTCTGGTTACCTGTTGGAGTGGTTACCATGCATTCTTTATATGGTAGCTGATTCAATCCCTCTTCCACAACAAGTCTGATCTAGAAAGTAAAAGAAAGAATAAGTTGAAAATCTGCTAAGAATCTCCTGTTACCTGTTTGCCTCTGGAGCTGAACACTTGGCAAAATTCAGAAACACATCAGGTAAATAAAGATTTAGCTCATGTGTCAGAGACAGAGATAGATCCAAGTGCCAGGCTGCTTGCTGTAAGGTATCCAAGCTTGGTTAGACACAAAAAAAGGCTCAAGCAGGCTATATTAAAAGAGATGCAAAATTATAGCAAGTGCCAAGAGTCATGGCAGACAGCCTTGGAAGGAATAAACTTCTGGTTACTCTGGAAATAGTCCCCAGAGGGAACTTCTTTGCCTTGTTCAATACTTTGAAATTGTTCAGTTAGGTTGTTTTTAACAAGACCCACCATAATCCAAATGCAGCCTGAAACTTCTTACTACAAAATAAACGAGTGGATAGGGTTAAACCAATGAGTAGGAGGAAGCAGTTGGACGCATTGGGGCTTCTCAGTTAAAACACAAAGGTTCCTCATGATCTTAATGTGTGGTATGGAGGAAAGAATCCACCAGAAGTACAAAAAACAGCTTCCAACAACCAGACATGATATTCCTTCTTCTGAGCACCTGGAGTCAACCAGAGTGTTGTTGAGTCTTGCAACACACATTTTCTGCAATCAATATTTCACTATTGATTGAGAATCAGGAACAGCAGGTAGAAATGCCAGGCCCCATGCTCTGTTATGACAACACAACACCCTGTTGTTGTCAATAAAATGATCAATGCTAAATGGGCCCGCACTTAGATCTCCTCTGGGTAACACTCCTCTAAAGTGTCTTACCTCTCCTGAAACCTTGGGACAGAAACTTGTGTGTCCAGGCCTTATACAAGGACATAATACAAGGGTGAATAAAAGATCTGAGTGCCAGGGAAGCAAATCCTGATAAATTCAGGATAGAATTAATGTCGATTATAATGGGATCCGTGTCCTAGAAGAGACAGTATACTAAAATTCCTCAACACTAGAAACCTACATAGCTTCAGTCCCTACCACAACCACACAGAACCTCCACCGCCACCTCCCAACATCAGGACCTACTGCAGAGAACAGAGAGGCCACGATGATCATCCTCTCAGGTGAGTACTGGCCTTGATCCTTAGTATCTCAGTTGATTAAAATATAATGCCTGCTCTTTCAGGCAAGCATTTTACAATAACCACAAACGTAACCCCTACTTTCTGTAGAAAAGGGGCATAAGGAAAGCAAAAATAAATAAATAAAAGAATGAGAAACCATTTTCTACCAATGAACAGAGAGAAAGGAAGGGAGAGATAGAAACATCAGTGAGAGAGAACATCGATTGGCCGCCTCCTGCACGCCCCCCCACTGGGAATTGGACCCACAACCTGGGCATGTGCCCTGACCAGGAATCGAACCAGCGACCTCTTAGTGCAGGGGTCCACGCTCATCCACTGAGCCACACCAGCCAGACAATTACATTTATCTTGATGAAAGCCAAGGGTTATTATTGCCTTTACAAACTTAAATAATTGTAAATACAAGTTGCCTCTGAAGCCAAAAGTAGAATAGTTTTCTACACTCTTTTGAAATATTTTCCCCAGGAATAATCTAAATGAAAATTAATAAACCACTTTTCTCTCTTTCCCAAATTAAATACTGACAATAGTGTTTAGATTGCAAACTCCATGAGTGCAGGGACCATGTGTCTGTATTCTTTACTGCTGTATCTCCTCCCCCTACAACACAGCCTAGCACAGTGCCTGACTTACAGGAATTCAATATATATTTCATGAATGGATGAATGTTAATAACCACAGCAGAAAGTGTGTCAACCTCATTCTAAGCACTGAGCATACTTAGATATAAACACAAGAAGGAAACAACACAGTGTTTATCCTGAAGACAAAACAGTCTGCTCTGAGATCCTCTCAGACCACACTAGCTAAACAGAATTGAGCTTGGTCAGTCTTAAACAAAAGTCCATGAGTAAATCATAGGTAGTTCAACTTAATATTTCACATGTGAGGATAGTACAGAAGAGAAGAGGCAAAATAAATACCTCCCGTGTAAGCTACAAGAGAGTTTCTTTTTGTGCATTACATGGGTATCACAGGGTAACTACTAGGTCTCCTTACATCTTTGGCATTCTTTTAATGTACTTCATTTGACTGCTCTAAGATGAGGCATTTAAGGGTTACTTATGACCACGTTACTAAGATCCATTTGAGAGGTAGCTGTATCTGAGAGCCACAGAAAATGAATTTATGGGCAATGCTTTGAGGTGAAAGGGATTGAGACAGAGCGTTAATGCAACAGTAGAAACAGTACTTCAGAAGTCTAGCAAGATGATGGTTACTTGGTACAATCTCTCTCACCCCCAGAATGTTCTAAATTAAAATAATAAAAAACCCTTGGCCTACTATGTTTCTATTACTAGGAACAACAATGAAATGAATATGGAAAGCCTTCACCTACCAAACGATCCGCAGAAAACATGAAGTCTCCTCTACTGGCTGTCCTAAAAAAAAAAGTAGTACAAGTTTTACTCTACATTAGAGCTTTAAGGTAAGATATTACTCATTATGTAATGTAACAATGATATCACAACCTATTATATACTAAGAGCGTAAAAGTTCACATGTGCGCCCTGCTGGTTTGGCTCAGCGGTTAGAGCGTCGGCCTGTGGACCAGAGAGACCCGGGTTCGGTTCCCACTAAGGGCAGGTACCTCGGTTGCAGTTTGTCCCCGGCCCTGGTTGGGTCATGCGGGTGGCAGCCACTCGATGCATCTCTCTCACATCGATGTTTCTCTCTCTCTCTTCCTCCCTCTCTTGTTCCTGCTCTATCTGAAGATAAATGTAAAAAACAAAATGTCCTCGGGTGAGGATAAAAGAAAAAGAATGCGTAACCTAATTTCTAAGATCTCTTTCTGAAAGTATGGATTAACAATTTGTTCCTTTTGCCTATTTTTCAGTCAAATATTTTGTTCCCTAGATCTTTCTGCCATTTCCCTGTACATTTCTTTCTGCTCAATCCTTTCATATCCTGAGGTACCCAAGTAATAATAATCTGAGACTGTACTTATCCACAACCTGTTAACCAGTCAAAAAGGGAATATTAAAAGGTTGACAATTTTTTTCCTGTACATAAAAAATTGAGTATTGTTCCTCCTCCTTCTCCCATACAAGTTAAATGATTTGACTAAACAGACTGAGCTACAGTTCATGGATTTAAAAATCCCCATCTGGCCCTGGCTGGTTTGGCTCAGTGGTTACAGCGTCGGCCTGTGGACCACAGAGTCCTGGGTTCGGTTCCCACTAGTGGCACGTACCTCGGTTGCAGTTTGTCCCCGGCCCATGTGGGTGGCAGCCACTCAATGTATCTCTCTCACATCGATGTTTCTCTCTGTCTCCCTCCCGCTCTATCTGAGGAAAAATGCAAAACTGTCCTCGAATGAGGATTAAAAAAAAACCATCTGCCTATACGTAGCATACCTCACACGTTCCCTAACACAGCATCAAAATGGCATATGCAAACACATATTATATCAGTATACCATCAATCATGACTAACTTTTCAAACTGCATTTACTTTCGCTGATAGGAAAAAGCAATAGATTTCTTAGAGCAGCCAGGGTTCTATCATATTATGGATATTAATGAAACAAACAGGAAATCATAACAGACTAAATATATTAGAATATAGCTTTTAGTTAAAATGATTAAATTCATCTTCAAAAGTCATAGTTGTACTTGGAATGTAGTCAGGTCTTGGGTTCTGCAGGCCTGCCTGTAAAGCAAGTTTAAAATTTTTTTTCTTTATTGATTTTAGAGAGAAAGGAAGGGGGAGGGGGAGCAAGAAACATCGACTGGCCGCCTCCTGCACGCCCCCCACTCGGGATCTGGCCCACAACCTGAGCGTGTGCCCTGACCGGGAATCAAATCGGCAACCTCTTGGTGCATGGGTCAACGCTCAACCACCGAGCCACTCTGGCTGGGCTAAAGCAAGTTTTAGAAGTTGTTCTCTTAAGATAACAGAAGATGTAGCCTGGTAGGCATGAAATATATAGCCCCATTCTTTTCTTAGTGCTCTTAAGATAATGTACTGACACTCAATCCCAAGATGCCTTAGAAAATTCTCTTTCTGTTGAGACTAGGAGCAGAACAAACCACACTGCTGAAGTTTGCAAAAGAATTCACCAATCAACATAGCTCAGGACCCTGAACTCCTTACTCATAACTTTTGCCCTTAAAAGGCCCGAATGAGAAGGCATTGGAGAGTTCAGGCTTTAAAGCAATACAGCTTCCCATTCTCCTTGCTTAGCATTCTGCAAAAGAAGTGACTACACTTTCTCCACTGCAAAACTGGGTGTTTGGTATTTGGCTCTGCCGTGTGCCAACAGGGATGAATTCTTGTCCTGTTCAGTTACATCAGCTCTCTAAAATATGGACCATAATTGAGCAATGGCAAGAATATAGGCCTATATTCTTTATATATAAATATTCCCTAAACTCAGAAAACTCTATTCACACACAACTACTGCATACACAGAGAGACCACTTAAAACAGGCTCTGTGTTATGTACTGTGATTTTCAAATGAAACCATACTACTACACTAGCACCTTTCATTTCTTTAACTAATCTTCACAACATGCTTGCCAAGGAAGAAAAAGTCAGTGAACTACAAAAGAAATACTGAAGCCTACTGCCCTGTTAGCTAGATCTGTACAAAGTTGTCTAGGCAGCCAGAACACAGTTTGTCAATAGGGAAGAAAAGTCTGGATTGGTCTTAAAGAAATATTCAGAAACATATCTTGGGAACACATTTGAAATAATTATTTTTACTTTCTGCACAGTTACACACAAATTCATTACATAGAAAAGTTATATTAGGTTAAGTGATCAGAGTTGACCAAATCTGTTACTTTATTTTGGAATCAGACATTTCGATACCTTTCACACTCTCCCCCAAAATATCAGCCTCAGTTGTTAACTTTCACATAATTACCTTCTCTACATTCCTAGAAAGGTACACACTACGAACTAATATGAACTGTCATCTCTTTATAGCTATTTGACTTCCAATTAAAGTATTCACGGCTCGAAATCATATATGACAAACAGCCAGAATACACTAAGTTGGTTGCATTTTTTTTAAAAAAACCCACAGTGGGTTTCAACATCCACATTTAAATCCTTAACACTGTTTAACACTGGTGTCATAAAGCAGGTATTTATTTGTTAGATCAATGAAGTTACACATTTTCTCTGAGCCCCTACTTTAGGCCCAACACTGGACTAAAGTATATGTTAAAAAGGTGTTTTACTGTAAACTAGACCCCAGGTTTTATTAATCCCATGCAATTTGTTTCAAATTATAACTCTTAACTTTTATCTTAAAACCATTTCTTAAAAATCTCTCATATTACAAACAAAGCTTTGAGAAACATTTTATTTATTTATTTATTTTTAATGACATTTCTTTTATTTATTTTTATTTTTAATTTTTTTGGTATGTACCCCTAGTGGGAACCGAACCCGGGACTCTCTGGTCCACAGGCCATCGCTCCAACCGCTGAGCCAAACCAGCCAGGGCTGAGAGACATTTTAACCACCTCTATCTAATAACAGTCCCGAATAAGATCGAATGCAAAATCATTACAAAGCAACAGACACACTAACACACATGCCTGGAATATTCTAAAATATATCCAAGTGACCAAATATCAGATATTTAGTGATATCCAGACACTCATAGTTCACAGCATGGAAATCTAATTAATGTTAAGCTGAGCATCTTTTAAATTGTACAAACTCCAAACAGGATTAACAATGCAGACCTAACCATGTCTGAGAACACACTTTTCTTGACATTTCCCCCAAACAACTATGTCACACATCTGTAGCAACAAAATGAACGCCACCGGCAGCCATTTTTTAAAAATGATCTTCACTGAAACCAGAAAGAATGAGAATCATACTGGAATTTAAATCATCATTTTAATGTGGGCTTGGTAAACCTAAGTTTGCACATGTCTAGCGAACAGGGCAGGAGGCTTCAGCATTGGTTTGAATTCACTGACTTTTTCCTTCCCTGAGAATGTCTATAAAGCAACTTCAAATTTCCCAGAGAGGCTCCAGCAGAATTTAACAACATGTACATGTCATAGCAAACCCAAACCAAGAAGAAAAACCTGGAATCTCACTGACCTTTCTTTCAAGTGGTTAATAGGTATTTACTTATCATCCATAAGACATAGAAATATGAAAGGAGAGGCCCTGGCCCAGTTTGGCTCAGCAGTTAGAGCGTCGGCCTGCAGTTCAGAGAGACCCGGGTTTGGTTCCCGCTAAGGGCACGTACCTCGGTTGCAGTTTGTCCCCGGCCCTGGTTGGGCTCTAGTTGGGCCGTGCGGGTGGCAGCCATTTGATGTGTCCCTTTCACGTCGATGTTTCTCTCTCTCTCTCTCCCCCCCCCCCTCACTGTCCCTCCCACTCTGTCCTCAAGTGAGGATAAAAAATAAAAATACCGATGTGAGAGAGACACATGGATTGGCTTCTTCCCACATGACTCCAACCCCAATGGGGGCTGGGGATTGAACTTGCAACCCAGGTACATGTCCTTAACCAGGAATCAAAGCCTTGACCCTTCGGTCAGGGGGCCAACAGTCTCACTGCTGAGCCAAACCAGCCAGGGCTGTAGTGACTTTCTAATGGCTGAGTCTTTCATTGGCTGAGTGGGTGGCAGGGAGAAGATCCTCCTTCTTCCTAACGGAGTAGTAGAGTAGAAAAACATCTTCCTGCTGGAGATGGAAAGTGCATCTCTGCCAGTCTGGGGTAATTGACACTGAGTGGTAGGGCATAAGTGCTCTGCCTACAGGCCCTCCCAATTCAAATTTAAAAGACACTTCTCTTTACTAATCTTCACAACATCCTCCCCTGGGACAATTAGAACTTCAGTTTCTAGAGCAGAAATTCCCACTTGATCACTCTCTGCTACTTCTCTCTACTCAGAATGACCTTGACAATCCCTCCTGTTTTCCTACAAAAAGGATTTTAACAACTCTCCCTCTCTCTATTTATCCTTACATATATGCCAAGTGTACAAAGATTTATGTATAAAGCTTTCCTAAAGAGGTCCAAAAGTTATAGCAGGTACCTAATATTACACATATATTACTCCCTTCTTTCCCACAGGTCATCATTTATTAAAAGCATCCTTGGTGCTAAGTAATAAAGACTTTTGGTGCATTATCTCATCTAATCCTTACACAACTTTAAGAGGTAGATTCTATTATTACCACCATTAAAGTGATGAAAATATGAAGACTTACATAGGTGAAGTATTTCAAGGTTCTTCTCAGCCTGAAACTCTCTGATTCCAAGTCCTTGAGCAAAGCAATTACTTTTTTTTCTTTATTGATTTTAAAGAGAGAGGAAGGGAAAGGGAGAGAGCTAGAAACATCATTTGGCCTCCTCCTGTGTGCCTCCCACTGGGGATTGGGCCCACAACCTTGGCAT